TGCTGAGTTATAACCCCCTAAATTACCAACAGAAGCCCTGGCAAATTCTTGCTAACAGCTCTAATGGATGCTATTATAAGTCTACTGCTCCCTGGCACTGAACCTTCGCATCTCATCTCCATAAAGGATTGCTGTCAACTTGAAAAATTGCATTTCTGTCTGAAAAAGCGATACTTTCGTTACAAATAATACCTCAGAGATAGTAACTGGAAGAGAGAAGGCTAGGGTGGAAATGTATTTAATACTATTCAGTTTATTTACTTTGTGTGTTTGGTAGCACTTTGTGTCATGTCTGTTTCACTGTTACGCTGATGCACAGTTGTGCTTCCTGTCCCCTGTGCTAGCAAGATGACTTCCTTCCTGCACTGCTCTAGGGAGGATCTCATGCACTCTGTGTCCCAGGCCCTGCACCAATAACAGCAGCAAAGCTGAAGCTGAAAAGGCAGCAAGCAGGTGGAAACGTGCCCAGAGAGGAAGTGGAGTGGGAGGACAGGTGCGCTAGGCATGTTGCTCTTGAGTTGCTTTAAGAGATCTTTGTAATATTGCAGAAGAGCAGAAAAACCCTTAGAATATTATTGTACAGACCTTTTGTAAATGTCTGTGCATGCTGTTATTTAAAGGGGCTATATCAGGAATTTGCATTGTTTGAAACTGTCATTTTAAAAGATCTCAAATTGTCAGTGTATAACACAACACTGTTGCTTTCTCTTGGGATGCCAAAGCAGTCCCTGCCAGGATTTGCGTCTAAACACAGAAGGAAGGATTCACACTTGGCATGAATCCTTTTCCATTAAAAAGGCAAATGACTGGCGAAGTGTTCTACTGACAGGCATCGGCTCCCTCCAGTTCTGCCAGCCTCCCCAGGAATCCACTCAAGTGCCTCAGCCCACAAATGTGCTTGCACATGACAGGCATTTTGCGAACCAGTGAATAATCTCCCCTTCCCCCCTCTTTTTATGCCAAAGTAAGTGGCTCTGTTTGGGCTGTGGCAGGCACCTGATTCATCCCAGCCTCTCATCGCCCCACCCCCAGACTGTGCCTTTCTACAGATATACTGGGACGGTGGCTCAAAGTAGAAGGCCAAGTTCGCCATCTTCTGGGGAAAACACGCAAGCTCCCTGAGAAACAAGGTGGGTGAGGTAATCTCTTTTAGTTAGTGGCCCAACTTCTGTTGGTTAAAGAGAGAAATTTTCAAGCTACACAGAGCTTTTATTCAGGTCACTGCAAACAAGCTACCTGGACAGTTGGCACAACGTATTCATTCATTCCCTCTCTCCTGTTCAGGGCTGGTTTAACCCATCACTGGGCCATAGGCAAACATACACCTCTAGGTCCCTCTACTGGCCAGCTAAACTAGCTGCTCCCAAGCAGGATGGATCCAGGTATATTAACCCTGTCCTGACCAGCACAGCTGCACTAGTGTTCTATTAACCCAAGCATGTCTGGTTCCTCCTGCACAGCTGTTGCTTAGTTAATCCTCTCCTACCCAGGTCAGTGACTAGCTCCTGATGCACGGACACTGCCTTATTGACCCCCTTGTGTCTGCCCTGCCCAGGGCTCCCCTCCCAGCTGGCTGCCCCATACGGGCACTCACTGCAGCTCTCTGTCCAATAGCAGTTCTTGAGGCTGTCACTGAGCGAGTCCGGTGTGCAGAGCAAAGGGGACATGGTCTGCTGGAAGGCGAAACTCTGGTGCAGGAGCCAGCCCCATGGCAGCCGTGAGGAGGAACAGTGCTGACCAGCGTTCCCTCTAATTTTTCCCATGCACGTGCGGAATGAATTTTGTTACGTGCACCAATATGGAGGTGATGGGTGACACATCACCTCTATATCGGTGCACATAACAAAATTCATGTGGCAGGGCTGGGGCCGAGACGTTCAGAGTGTGGGAGGGAGCTCAGGGCTGGGGCAGAGGGTTGGGGTGTGGGGGGGGGGGTGAGGACTCCAGCTGGCGTGGAGGCTCTGGGGTGGGGCCAAAGATGAGGGGCTCTGGGCTGGGGCAGAGGGTTTGGGTGCAGGCTGTGGCTGGGGGTGCAGGTTCTGGGGTAGGGCTGGGGCTGAGGAGTTTGGGGTACAGGCTGCCCCGGGGCTACGCTGGGGAGAGAGGACTCCCCTAAGCTCTCTCTCCCCACAGCAGCACCTGGGCTGGAGGGGAGAGGTGCCTCTCCCTGCCGTGGCAGGTCCGGGGCTGGGGGAGAGGCATCTCTCCCCGCTGCAGCCCTGAGCGCCTGCAAGGCACTTAATAGGCTGCTGTGTGTCCAGGCAGCTTAGAGGGAACTTATGTGCTGACTGCCCCATTGTTCATTTAAATTTCCCCTGGCTGCTCCTCCATCATGACAGATGGGCAGCTGGGCCAAATTTGAGTGGGTGGCAGTGCTGGTGCCCAGGGTCACAGCACCATTCAGGTTGCCCCCCCCCACCCCAAATTTGGGCCGTAGGCACGTGCCTCCTTTGCCTATGCATTAATCTGACCCTGCTTCTGTTAGCATATTCATGAGAGAGGTGTGATCTGAGGACAAAACCAGGCATGAAAGTCTGCTGTATTCTGGCACTGCTATGCTCTGTAAACTTGGGCAAGCTGCAGACCCCCTCTGTGCGTGTATCCATCAAATGTGGGTTACCATCCTTACCTATCTATCTCATGGGCACAACATATCCATGGGTGTAAAACTCAGTATTCTTATTATGCACCAGTGCATCATTAATGGATTTCAGCAGCAGCTTCAGAAATGTCAGTGGATATATGTGTCCTTTGTCAGCCCAAGAAATGAAGAGTTACGAGGAGATGCTGCTGTGGCCACAGACCAAAGCAGGCTCCCCCTACATTTAAAGTGGCAATGACTGGACGTGATAACTAGCAAGTGCAGTGGTGCACCTCTTTAGAGCACACGGAAAATCAGGAAATCCACAGTTGCTCGGCCCACCTAGTGATTATTTATTAATGGACTAATTAATTAGTTTTACTAGTGTATTATTCATTGATAAATATTCAGGCCATGATTTTAAGAAATGGATGCAGACAGTTAGGCTCCCAAATCGGCACCTAAATAAGTGCCCTGATGTTCAAGGGCTGAGCACTCAGCATCACCCATTGTCTTTCAAATCATATTGGAAAAGTCTCAGTTACTTGTCTCTAGTTTTTAATTTGTCTCTGCTGTTTGGGAGGAAATATGGTCTAATGTGTAGTGCATGGGACGTCAGACATGCCGGGCTTCACTGCCAGCTCTCTCACTGACTCGTGTGGCCTTGGGCAACATTCCTTATGGCTCAATTTCAGACATGCCAAACCCGTGAAAAAAAACACAGAAATTGGGCTTGTTTTTGGCTTAATTGGCTTGTGAGTTGCTTGCTGGTTAGTTTTTGGCTTATTGCTTGATTGGCTTGTAGCTTGTTGCTTTTTTGATCGGCTCCCAGTAAGCAGAGGGAAGGGGGGGCAAGCAGGGGCAAGGCGGGGAGAGAGTCGGGGTGCACAGTGGGCCCACCACAATCCCAGACTGCACGCCGGGGGATCTAGTCATATACAGCATTGGAGTTCGTAGGGTTGGGTTGTTTTGGCCTTGTTTTGAAATGGGATTAGCTTGATTATTGGCTTATTGTGAAAGTCGGGGTGCTTATTTACTGTGTGAAAGTTGGCAACTGTGCTCAATTTACTCATATGTATAACTGGGACAATAATTCCCAATGTGCCTACCTCTGAGATGTGTTTGTGAGGCTTAATTCATTGGTATTTTTAAAGTGATTGGCAATACCTGAATCAGTGCTATCATCACCCTATTAGTGCTAGTGGATAATGCTGTACAACATTTTAGGATACAGCAGTAAGGGGACATATAGTATTGCCTTGTACTGGTACAGAGCTTGCTAGCATGGTGACATCTCTGATGTGCTTATTGGAAAGCAGAAAACCTATAGAAGCTTAAATTATATAACCTTAATCAAGTTACATCTAGTATGTGACAGCTATTCAATAAGCAAGGCCCAAGTGGCGCTGGTATTAACCTTCTATATAAAAAGAAATCCGCCAACCACCTACCGAAAAGCTTCCCAGAAAGAAGAAAAATGCACAGAGGTTAGTGTAATCACTATACCATTGTAATGAAAGTTTCTAATGCCAGCAAAGGTGCTGCGGATGAAGGCAGTCAGTCATTGGCATGGTGTTCAGAGCCAACCACCATGCAGAGCACAATCTGGCTCTCATGGTAGTGAGAGTGCTTTCGTCTGAATAAGTTCTCTTCGGAAGGAGCTATTGTCCTCAAACGAGAGGACTGAAAAATCAGCGAGACTCCCTCTTATAATAAAGGCCCCAGACTACTTCAGTAACGTGAACGAACATGTTTAAGTGTCCTCATCAGGAACCCAAAAATCTATGCTGAGGGAGCTTACATCTTGAAAGGCAGTGTGATCAAGGGGTTGGAAAAGAGACTTCTGAGCCGGGACTTGGGTTCTAGTCCCCGTACTGCTAATGATTCATTAAGACCTTAGGCAAGTCGCTTTACTATTCTATGCCTTAGTTAAGCCACCTGTATATTATTTCCCTGAATTAATTAGGGATTGTAAGGACTAAGACCCTTTTCTACATGCTAAAGAAGTGCAGACTGTCATTAATTAAAGACGGGCCTGAGCTGCGGTGTTCAGATCCAGAGTTTCTATTGGGCACATTATAGAACAAGGAGCCTACATGAAGCGTGGATCTAGATCAACTCAGCTATTCTCTTTCCCCACAAAACAGCGTGAGGGAGTTTGAATGAGATTTTGCCTCAGGCCCATCTTTAATTACATCCATGAGATGGGAGAGGGCAGGAAAGATGAGACTCATTTGATCTGGAGCTTCACTCCAAAAGGAGGAAAGAGACAGCTAGAGGATCAGCTCTGTCTGAGTAAGAAAGGAACAAACCTGAACTCGCGACCCAACCAATACAGAGGGCAGGTGGCACAGCAAGACTGAGGAAACGTGTCTGGAGAGAAGCGAATGTATTCAGAATAAACCTGAAGTCAATCAAGTAACAGTTTATTTTTTTCTTTTATTAAAAAGATTCATTTTACATGAAGATGTAACTTGGCCTTTTGCGGGTACAGACACCAGCTGTGGTACACACAGTTGCTATTGATTCTTTATCATCTAAATTTCTCTTCACACCTTTTTTCGTTCTGCAGGGAAGACAAGGCCTAAGACTATTAAACCCAACATAAGTGAGCAAAACCCAACCCCCTTTTCTTTTCAGCCAGAAGGAGGAAATTACTTGCTACTACAGATGTTCCAACCCAGTTACTTACAGTGAGCTGCTCAGACTAGTCATTTTGCAAATAGTAATATGGAGTCAATCAGAAGGGAATGCACTGCAGAATAATTGTCCTATTTCAAAACATTATCCTATAATAACAATCTGTAGCCTAGCTATGCCTCATTGAGAGGGAGAGAGAGATACGTACAGCATGCACCTCAGTACACACAGCTTCGAGAGAGAAGCACTCTTGTTGTCTGGTAATGCTGGAAGCCAGCCCATCAGCTAGCCTCAGTCTTTTCGTCCCTAATCTCAGGGCAGGGAAACAGCGTTCGCTCCACTGGCTGCTGCTATTTCCCATTACAACCCTTGCGATTAAGTCAGGCTCTGAGTCCTTAAATCCTTCTCTGAATGGGAGACCAGTTTTTGTTCAACAACATTAGGAAAATACTTTTGGCACCAGAGCAAGTGCACCTTGAAGCATCTGCTTTTGGAAAGCTGTGTTATTACCTCCCCCTTCCCCACCCCCCACAAAAAAAAAAAAAATCAAACAATTTTTAAATTTTGATTGGTAGAGAAAGAGAGAGATACCAGTCTGTAAGATATCAGAGCTCTATTTGTAATAGAGGAGAGTTCCTTTCCAGGTACAAATGGCAGGTGAAATTCACATCCCAGGCATTCATTTGTTTGCTACAGCAGAGAGTTGATCTCGGATCCTTCCCAGACCATCTAACATAGTGTCTAGGGTTTCTTTATTCAGCTCCACAGTCACTGAAGAGATCACAGGGCTATCCCCACACAAGGCAGCATCTTCCTGAATCTGAAGTAGAAATGTGGTTTGCACTCACATGAGACATCCACATATACAACCCCCTCCCCCACAATGTTTCCATTCGAATCAGAATTGATTGGAGATGGACTAAAAATAGCTGACCTACACCACAATTTCCCCTCCTGAAGGACCACAGTGTGCTCCCCAAATTGTGTACATCACCAATGAAATGCAGCTTCCTCTGTGGGAGAAGGCGACAATGAGTAAAGGGGAGGTTCTGACCAAGGATACCAGGGCAAAACCCTCTCTTACTAGAAATATCAGTGGGCTCTGTGTACACAGAGTACACAGCTACCAGATTTTTCTCTCCCCGCTGAATCTCTCCTCCAGAAGAGACCGCCCATCCCAGCTCACTTTAATGGCTCTTGAAGAATGAGGGGTTGAGTAGACCCTCCTGGGATTTAAACTTTTATGTCCAGGGAGTCTAGCTATTTCCACCCCATCTCAGCTGATCAACATATCAGTGAGTGAGGTCTCTTCAAAGGCTACTGTGAGACAAACACTATCTCCAGAATAATCTACTAAAGAGAGGGTGTGCTAAAGAGTGAATAACTGTCTTGGAGGAAGGGCAGATGGCACTTTATGATTTGCTAGGCTAATGCTGTCCCCATATTTCAGAGAACGCATGTTGTCCTCGGGCCCAGCAAGCTGGCTCCTCGTAACAGTAGAGCACCCTCCCATACTGCAAAGAGTCTGTCACGGTTTCCCTCTAGACCTCATGCATGCGGGTTCCAAGTATTCTGCTTTCTTGCATTATTTCTGTTTGTGCCCATCTAGCAGCACGAGTAGCTTGTCACTGAACTCTTCTGGGCTGCCAGAGAGTTCAGGTGCAGGAGAGTCAGTCACCTAGACACTATATTACCCATGGAGGGTTGGAATCGATTAGCATTACCTTCAACTGTAGCAGGCAGGTGGGGACTGCCATTCTGCCGATGCTGTCCGAGGACGTCTTGATGTCCACTCTCCAGTCCATATCAACCAGCCGAGGCAGGGAGACTGTAGGATTGAAAGTTACATGTTAGTTAAATTAATGACTTGGGCTTGTCCACATGCAGTGATTCCAGCCTTTGCAATGGGAGCCAGCGAACTGTTGCAGATCCCATTTCCATGCCGGAAAATTGCACTGAAACAAACCAAAGGCTTCTAATTTCAACAGAGGCACTTGGCACCTTCTGGTTCCCAATCAGCCCTCTGCTCTGCACTATGCATAAGCGGCTGGCAGCTGGACACCCCCTCCCGTGGCAATGAAACAGCACACAAGGTTATCACAGCACCCCACGCAAGGGTGGTAGCATGCAAGACAACCCTAGAAAGAGTGCAAAAGAACTGGGGGAGGGGAGCAATAAGGTTCACTAACTCCCCTCTCCAAAGGCATCCCAGCATCCCTCTTGCCTTATTGAACTGGCTTGCTGCCTGCAGCTTACAACCAGCATTTGAGCGTGCCCTGATTTGAGCCCTACAGTGTGTCTCAAAGATAAATCATGTAGGAATGATCTGAAAACTAAGCAATGTAAAGTATATGATTTCCACCCCCATGCCTGCTAGCAAAGGAACTCCAGTGTGCAGTGTATGTGCAAGGGGACATCCACCTCCCTGCGCCTGGCCAATTCATTAAAAGCACTGAGACACTTCCACTTGATGGATGACTAATGGACCTTATTTTTATTGGACTAGAGCTAACGAATTCAACAGCAATTCAATGCAATACTCATGTACATGCTTAAGAGGCCCGGAACACTATAAACCATTCAAGAGAATAAGGCTCTTTGAACTTGGCTGACAGTTCAATCATTTGTATATCTGTATACCACCTAGGAGAGCAAAGGGTTACATCATCTCATCTGACAAGAGTGCCCACAGTCTAGCTGTGTCTTTCAAGGTTATTAAGAGGTCAGAGGCTGTGCAAGCTTCAAAGCATCAATACTAAAGCAAGTCTGCCAAGGCAGCAGGATGATCACATGACTCACTGTGTGTCCAAACTGGAAAAGCTACTGATACATGAAAAGCCTTGGAAAATAACTACAAACTGCACTCCAAAGCAGAGCTGGGCGGGAAACTGTTTTCCCATCCTGCAAAAATATAAATAAATAAATAAAATAATTTCCCATTCACCACCTGGAGGAAACCGAGACCTTTCAAGGAAAAGCAAAGAGAGACCCCAAAACAGCCTGGTGGTCAGGGGACTCACCTGCAATGGGAGAGCCAAGTTCAAGCACTGACTCAGCCCAGTGCGGAGCCTGCTCTTGCCATCTGTCCCCAGAGCTGAACCCCAGGAAGCATTGCAGCCTTGGGTGGCAAGCGCTTGTCTTTGGAAGCCACGCCCAGTTACAGTCCAGTGTTTGGCAGCATTCACAACACAATGTAAGATGCATCTGTTTAGTCTTGTCTTTTAATTGGCAAGGGAGTCACTACCGGTAGATTTGGAGGCCGAGGAAACTGTCCTAATTTTTATGACCATGTCAATCGACCATTCAGAATGTTTGTTGTTCCAATCATCATATCTGCCCCTCTGTAATGTGCAGCAGATGCATTATAAACAGCAAAAGCATAATCCACCATTTCCCAGAAAATAATCTCTCTTTCCAACAGGATATTCCACCATGTTCAGCAGTTAGTACTAGGTTAAAATAACGGCCAGAACCCCTAGAGCAGGGATTCCTGAACGTGGTCCAAGGGCCACCAGCAGTCAGGAGAGCCATTGCTGATAGGCCATGGAGAGTTGGTTGGGCACATGGCGCTAGCTCATCTCATTTCCTAGATCATACTGCAATGTGAAGATATGTGCAAAAGCACGGTTAGGACAATATTTAGTGTAAGCAATTGCTGTAATTGCCAGTGATGTTATGCAACCATGGAACAACCTCTCCCCACGATTTGTATTTTATCAAGATGTTTGAAAACCCCTTCCCTAACGATTTTCTTACGGCAGTGTTTTCCCAGAGTGTTCAGGAAAACATTCCACTGCCCCCCACCCCTACCCCATTGGGAGGGGCAAAGAGGGCCCACACTGGCCTCGAGTTGTTCTCTAGAGTGTCAGCTTGCTTTAGAAAGAAAACTCTTTCAAATAAAAGCTTTAAAAAAACAGTGTAGCAAGTGTAATCAATGCAGACATCTGCCTGAGTTTGCAGACAGCTTGAAAAAATGTCTCTGAGGCGTGAACTGTCCAGGCACTTAAAAGGGGGCTAATTCAGATGCCAGTGACGATGCTTTAATTGTCCACATTGTTAACTGTTCACTAAACACCAAAGCATGTGAGAAGGCCGAGGAATTGTACTATAAAGATCTATGCTAGTGTTTTCTATACCATGTGGGAGTGGGGGGCTAGAGAGCAAGGACAGTTTGGGATGGCACTGAAGATGTATACACTGAAATACATAAGCCCTTGACAATCCATGGGAAGGCTGCAGGGTGGGGACAACATTGGTTTCACTTCCTGAAGGGGGGCTCAGTTTTCAAAGAAGTTTGGCAAACACCATTTTAGTATACCTCAGAGTTTTACATTTCAAGGTCTTGCTAATCATTTTGGAAATATTCATAGCCTTAAAATGCAACCTGCTACTTACTCTGACTTGATTGTGCTTCACTCCTCCAGACGGAGCTGTGAAAGGGAAGAGAGAAAAAAAATATATGATGAGGGCTTTAAAAGAGATTACAGCAGCAGTGCAGAACAGGGATGGTGAGTAGTGTGGCTCCTTTCTGAAGGATCAGTCAGAAAAAATGGGTGGAGATATGAGACTAGCCATAGCAGGTGGCAACTTTATTGTACCAACTGGAAGAGTTGATGGGGTGAAGAAACTAGAACAAAGGAGAAGGTTGGCCGTGGTATTCAAGACAAAATTGCTTTACCATCAGAAACTCAGTGCAATTTACTGATGACCTGTACATTTATCTTCAGGCTCCACAGCATAAGCTTTAATCTTTAAATTTTCTCCCTTACCTGTGAGACAGTCTGATAGGTGGTAATAATGGGCCATTGGTTAAGGCACTAGTCTGGGATTTAAGTGACAGAGGTTCAATTCCCTGCTCTACCACATGCTTCCTTGGGCTAGTCACTTAGGCCCGGATCGCAAAAGGACGTAGGTGTTGCAATACCTTTTAGGTGTCTAGAAAACCACAGGAACAACACTGCAATCCGCAACACCTGAGTTAGGTGCCATGGGCCCATAAAATGAATGGGGGAGAGAGAGAGAGATGCCTTTGAACTAGATCCACAAAAGCCAGTGCATTAGACGGGGAGCCACCTAAGCCCCACCCCTCTCACAGAGATAGGCACTATATATGGGCTGCAGGGAGGCACCTATCTTTGCTAGTGATCTGCAACCAGGAACCCCTCTGCTGGAATCATATGACTTAAGTGCCTAAGTCATTTCTTGTGAAAATGAGTTAGGTGCTTGCCTCTGTCCACATAAAACAGCTGGAGGAGGATGGAAAGGTGGTACTATCCCCCCTTATAACTTATCCCAGGTGAGTGCTCTCACCAGAGTCATGTGGGAGACCCAGGTTCAATTCCACCCCTCTGCTTGAAGGACACAAAGGATTTTAACAAAGGTCTCCCACCTCTCAGGAGAATGCTCTAACCACTGAGCTATAGGATATTCTAACACAGGGCTCCCTCAGTCTCTCCTGTTGAAGCTGTTCCACTGTGTATAAATAGAAGTGACTGGAGCAGGGGAACTAGAACCTGGATCTCCCACCCAGAACTACAGAGTCACGCATTCTCTCTCTCGCCAACCCAATGACTCAGAGCTTGAGAAAATCCCGTAGATCAGTGGTTAAGAGTGCACGGATTGCTCTGGGGCTTAGATGGAAGTCTGGATGCCTAAAAGGAAGAAGCAGTGCATGTGCTCAGAGGCACAAACTCAGGCCCTGACGGAAGTGTTACCCTGAAAATTTAGGCTGAGTTTACCCATGTGAATTTAGATGCCTACATGATTTGGCGAGAGTTTTGTGGATCACAGTGAAGCCTGAAACTGGAGTTTAGGCACCTTAATACCTTTGTGGATCTGGGTCTTTATTTGTCTCAGTCTCAGTTCCCTCTGTAACACCGGGAAAGTAGTACTTGCTCTCAGGGGTGTTGTGAGGATAAATACATTAAAGATTGAGGTGCTCAGATACCATGGTTATGGAAGCTAGATAACTACCATCGACAGACTGAGGGCTTGTCCCCTACCGCCATGTTTCTCAATCTTTTTGATACCAGGGACCGGCTTGCAGCCTTCCTAAATTGTGTCATGGAGATCTCAGGGACCTGTTGTTGAAAAAACCCTGCCTTACCCCTTCCTAAACTCTTGTGGAAAACCTTAGCACGCATTCCCGGGTATAATCTACCATTCTATTGCAGGAAGTACCGTATTACATTACATCCCTCCCCGCCCCATGGTGCTCAATGACTGTGGCAAAGGCTCACACCATTACCCCTTAGAATGCTGAGGTGTTCCAGACTGCCAGCCATGTGAATACTTGGTATGTCTAACACCCTCTTGCTTTACATCCAAATGAAAATCAAATGGCAAGCACTTACACATTTTCCAAAATTATCTTGGTCAGGAGGTTTTTTAGACTCTGGTGGAAGTTCTGTGGGAAAAGAGAGAGAATTTCTTCCGCAGATGACAGGCCCCGATACACAACGTGCCTGGTGAGGTTGTGCAAACAGCAGACCAGCTGCAGGAAAGGAACAGATAATGGAAAAGAAGCTGAAGTGATGAAGGGTACCACATACTGCATGGGGAATGACTTAATGACTTCAGATGGGGTGCAGGGCAGTGTACGTTCATAGGCCAAGCTCCAGCAATCAGATGCACACTGGCAGGCTCTCATGAAGCCAACTGCAAAATCAGTCATATAATTTCATTTTATGTAAGGAATGACAGCCCTTGATACGTGCTGCTCACAATCCACTGTACTCCAACCTGCACTCTCCAAACACAGACAACTCCAGCTTCCTGTTCAAGATTCTGGGCCATGTCATCCAACTAAGTACTAAGCCCTTTACTAAATACTATAACTACTGCCCCAGGGCTTTCAAAAACAGCCAGGGCCCGATCTTCCGTGGCGCTGAGCCTCTGGAGAGCCCTCTGACTTCAATATAAGAAAGTGACATCCTAATTGCTCATATTACTACTTTACAGAAGAAATTACATTTAAGGATGAACTGGACACATGAAGTTACAGAAACTGGAAGCAGAATATGCTTATTGGGTTACCTTACCCATCCCACTGCTGATGAAGGTTTGCGTCCTATAGTATGTTCCTAGCTATATTTTGTACTGGTTGTTCAGCCTTGGGAAAACGGAAAATCAATGGGACTTGAACTCCGAAGTCACTTAAGCAATTGACCCAATTCATGACCCCTGCTGTAAGGTAGATGAATATATATTGAATTTGTATCCATTTTGACTGAGCAGAATTTCCCATTTTGTGCTCAAGTATCTGTGAGGACGTCCTGTCCTCACAGGCCAACACAGAGACCCAGTGAGCCAGCCTGACTGCAGCACTGAGGACTTTGTACTGCCTCATTAGCCATCACAGTGAAAGCAGATTATTAACTAACTGCTTTTAGTTTCAAAATCTGCTTCTCACCAGTGTTTGGCTGCTTGTGAAGAGAGGAACCAGAGGGAAAAGCACCTTTTACATGCAGGCCCTGTCAATAAGACTACTGTCATTGCTGAAGTGTCATTGCCCTCTTACTTGAGCTGCTTCTTCTGATGTCACAGACAGATTGGAACAGGTGCTGTCAATCAATTTGCTTGAGCCTCTTGTTGAGCTAGAAAAGCACTCTTGGCATAGTTGTCTAACTACGTCCTTTGAGGAAGCCTGGAAAATAATGAGCGCAGGGTTCAGAAACCATTGTTTATATGCAGAGAAACCAGTGAGTACTTCTATAGTGTTTTACAACTGCAAAGCACTGAACTAATAACTACTTACGCTTCAAAACTTCCCTGTGCAACAGGTTGGCATTATACTAATTTTGCAGACAGAGAAGTGATTTGCCTGAGGCCACATAGGGAGTTGGTGGCAGGAGCAGAATTGGAATTTAGGAGCACCAGGCTCCGAATCCTGTGTTCAGATCATACTGTGTTGCTGAATTATTTGTGTGTGTTTTCAAAAATGGAATCTCCCCCCCTCCTTTTTTTTTTAATCCTTAAAAGAGCGACAAATTAAATCAGTCCTACAAATCCTGTTACAATGCTACCTGACCACACCAACCAGGAAAAAAATACTGCTTGAAAGGATGGGGGCAGGGGTGTCATTTATTAATACAGAAGCTTTCATTTTTCATTCTTCTGGTTCTGTCCTTAAGAGGCGACAGGGCTTGTAGAGCTCATTTATGTGCATGGAATTGATCCACCATGGGGAGACAGCATTTTTTGAATGCATCACCAATTTCAAACCTCCTTTCCCTTGTCTCCAAAGTTTGCATAAATGAATACATACAGTTCATCTCTATAAGCAGCAGCTTCCAAAGTGTTGAAACACCATTTAAGGCTCAAATACTTTTCATTCTCTCTGTTTATTAGTCACATTTAGCTGGCATATTTCTTCCTAAACTGCTTTACAAGCTCTATCCAGGGATCAGTGAAATGCAGCCACCTCTTGGGCAGAATTCAGCAGCTGTTTAACAGTACAGGGATTTTAAAAAGCAAACATCATCATGCTAACTTAGTACATTTGTGTCTTCTTTTTTTTTTTTTTACCTTCAATAAGATCTGCAGAGCTGCAAACTGCTCTTCTCTCACTGCAGCCATCTTGACTCTACCATGTGACTCTGCCATGTGACTGCAGACACTAGAAATCGCAAGAGGTCAGTTTAAGTCATATGACTAGAGCTTCAGTTGCCTGGCATTCTGGAAGTTGTAGTTGTAACTGCAGCCTGATGGAGAATAAAAATATTGGTGATTATTTTCATCTGAAGCCATTTAAAAATGTAATGGCTCAGACAGATAGTTCCTGGCATGGTTTTCTAACAGTATATTGCTGAAGCATGATACTGCAAACACTTAGGCATACGGGTAGCTTTACTTACATGAATAATTCCTAGTGAAGTCACTGGGACTGCTCACATGAGTAAAATTACTCATGTGAGTGTTTGCAGAACGGACGCCTCGCTTTGTAAAGGGGCACTGTCAATTTAAATTTGGCTCAAGGTTTGGCTGTTGTAGAAACAAGCTATATTGTGAAGCCCAACACCAACAAAAATATTTCCACAAATGTAAAAACAAAAGCCAAAACCTCCAACAAAAGCAATTGTTTAAGTAAATAAACGTTCCCCTGCTGAATTTCACACCCAAATTTTACAGCACTAAAGGCTGAAAAATGAAACTTATTCTAAATTACCAAAACTCAGAGGATTCATTGATTCTCATTGTCCATTTTGCACAGAGACTGTTTTCTGCTTCCGTTTCCCTGGCAGATCCCATACCTTTCTCTAAAACTATGCTACTGTATGTGATCGCAAATGTCCCTGAGCTAAAGCTCTGTATAGGAGTTTGTACTTGCTCTGTGTCCTTCATTCAAGAATCTCAAAGTTGTATAGAAACGTTAACTTTATGTACGCACTGTAGCACCCCTGTGAGGTACGTGAGGTGCACTGTTTTTATTATTGTAGCCAATTTACAGTTGAGTAATCCTACTTAGATTGTAAGCACTATCTTTTTGTTCTGTGTTCGCACAGCGCCTAGCACAATGGGGTCCGGGTCCATTACTAGGCTCCTAGGCACTATGATAATATACATAATAATTAAATAATACTAATATTAATAAATATAGGGGCAGGGAAAGGTTAAATGATTTGCTCCTGGTCACATGGTGAGCTAGTGGCCCTGTTGGGAATGGACTGATGCACTGGGGGCTAGGAACACTTGTGCACAGGGGCTCGGGAAGGATTCAGAAGTTTTCCCACAATATGCCATGAACTAATTCCTAAAGCGGTTAAATTTAGTGGGGCGCTAAGGCCCCTGGGATATGTCCCTCAAAAATCCTAGTGCCGAGCCTGTATAATCGCAGCTACACGGGTATGAGTTGTGTGCAACTCTGCAGTGCGACTGCTTGGAGGCGGGGTCGGTAAGCACGGCTCTGCATGCATGTGAGCCACCAGTTGGGTACACTCCGCAGTGCAGACATACCCTAAGACCTAATAGTCCTGACTTCAAGTCCTCTGATCTAATCGCTAGCCTACACTCCCTCCCAAAGCTCCATGTATCTTCTCTATATGGGTGTTTTCCACTGAATGCATCCGATGAAGTGAGCTGTAGCTCACAAAAGCTTATGCTCAAATAAATTTGTTAGTCTCTAAGGTGCCACAAGTCCTCCTTTTCTTTTTGCGAATACAGACTAACACGGCTGCTACTCAGAAACTTCTCTATAGTGGATGCATAGCCTGGAGAAAGATGATCTCAGGGTTTGATCCTGGGAGGTGCTGAGTGCCCATTATCTTCAGCTGCTGGAAACTGAAGCCATAGGGTTTACTACTGTATTACTGCAACGGTATGGACCTTTATTCTAGGATACTGTTATATTTTCCCCTGAGAAGGGAAATTTAAATAAATCCTCTTTCAGTGAAAGAAATAGTCTCCTTTTGTCCTGTGTAATTCACCGCACATCAAGTACTTTGCATTTTGCACAATCCAAGGACCTTCCCCAACCACACCACTGGCATCTCAATTTTCATTTGCATTGCTCCTCTGCAAATGAAAGAATAAATTGAAGAAGTGTAAATGTGCAAGTGTTATTTGCAGCATGATTGACAGCGCTTGGCGAGGGGAAAGGGCTTCTGCTTGCAGAGGAACTGATTTCACTTTCACATGCTGGGAAGCCTTCAAGGGCAGAAGAAGCTGAAGGGAGAGGAGTTTATTTTCTATCATTTTTCATGAGCAACCGGAAATGAGACTCTGGGGGGAGCTATTTCAGGGTATGAGTTACCAGCTGCGGCCTCTTGAAATTAATGAATATGATCGATCAGCTTAGAGAGGAACAATATGTTTGTGCTGCTGTTACCATTAAGTTAACCTATTATAGGTAGTATATTATGTAAAGCTGCCTTACAGATCCATTCCAATGGAGGCACTCTCTCTGGAGTACTGACATGCTATTGTGTAGGATGGAATAGGAGACAGACGTGACCTGATTGTTCAGCCAGGTAGTCCCATTACACAGCCCAGTTCATAGATCTACCCTGATCAGCCAGGGAACACAAGCTGTGATCAGATTATGGGAACTGCCACATCAGCTGTCCTTCCCCAAGGTGATATACTTGAGCTATTCTGGGAAAAAGTCTGGCCCTATGGTTGCCAGGTGCTTGTTTGTTTGTTTTTTACCAGAACGCTGACCGGGCCATTAAAAGTCCGGTTGACGCTGGGCTGACAGGCACCCTACCTGGCTCCCAGAAGTGGCGACATGTCCCTCAGCTCCTAAGCGGAGGGATGGCCATGGAGGGCTCTGTGTGCTGTCCTCGCCCGGCTTTGAGCACCGGCTCCGTAGCTCCCATTGGTCGCGAGGGCGGCACCTGTGGGCGGAGGCAGTGTGCAGAGCCACCTGGATGCACCTCTGCCTAGGAGCAGAGGGACATGTCGCGGCTTGCGGGGAGCTGCCCGAGGTGAGTGCTGCCCGCAGCCCAAAACCCTGACCCACTTGTCTAAGGAGTTAATTACACAAAGTGACCTGCCAGTCGAACAAACAGGAAGAGAGGTGGAGAGATGGAAAGGAGGGGTTTAGATGACTATCCTGGGCATCAAGGAGTCTGTGGCAAGAGAGAACATTTACCTGTGAGTCACATATTCGGAACAAAGATATTGCCTGCCAGTAAACACAGCTGGAATTGTATTGCATTCGTGCTCCAACTGCTACTATGCACGCGCCTCCTACTGTCATAATTTCCTCACTGTAGGGTCCTTCTAATGATGGGGGAACATTGACATGTTTGATTTAATATAAAAATTGAATTAGTGGATAGCTCAGAAGTGGTCAAAAGCAGATAACGGTAAATTAGCTCAGTAAATATGCTGTATGTGGGGTAGGTGGCCTTTTTTTATTTGTAGTTTTTCCTTTCTCTTTCTTGGCAGCCTCAAGGAACAAGAGCCAGAACCAGATTTTCCCGTGTAACGGTTGGGGCAGAACCATGTTTAAACCATTGTGTCTCACCATTTTGCAGAAGGATGGTTCCAGTGATTGGGATGCTAGCCTGGGACTTGGGAGACTGGGAGCAGGGATTTCCTCTCTTCCACTGACTTCCTCTGTGATCTTGGGCAAGTCCCTTAGCTTTTCTGAGCCTCAGTTCCCCATCTGTGCAATGTGGATGACAGAACTTCTCTACCTCTCGGGGGGATTGTGAGGCTAAATTCATGAATGAATATGAGTCTCTCTGATACTATGGTAATAGGCTTTAAATAGATTCCGTAAGCTGGTGCTTCCTGAATTCAGGACCTCCCCAGAGAGTGCAGAACTTCTGAGTTGCTTGTTCCCTTGTGTCCCCTACATGGTGAATCCCCCATGCTGCAATGAACTCCGTTTGAGCTCTCCATTGACATCAGTGGGGTTTCCTGTGGGCACAGAGGTCCACTGACAAGTTCATTGGTCAGGGCCTAGATAAGTGTAGGCAGAGGCATGGGGTAGCAACTATTAAATTTCATGGTGGGGTTTTCTGGTGAGAACTGGAAGGTTGTTCTTCATTAGGCCTTCCACTTAACTCTCACAGCAGGTACAGTTAGATACTGCCTAATATCTTATCAGGCTGGGCCACATTTCATATGTGAGCATAATGGTTGTGCCCCCATGGACCCCAGTGAAGTAAAAAAATCCTAGTTATTAGTGCAATATGGGCAAGGGCATGTGCAAGCTAACATCCATATGGGATTACTCTGCTCTCATGGTTTATATATCATGCTCTCAGCTGGACCATGAAGGAATTAAGCCTTTCCATTGAGTGGAGGGGAACAACTCAACGTGTAGGGAAGACTGCCTCTTGCAAAGGAAAAAAACAGATTTGTGCCCCTTTTTGCTTCTTCATAATGGACGAAAAAGGCCTGAAAGCCTGTTGTAAAAAAACCAACAAACCAAAACCAAACGACCCCTCCAAGAAACAAAAAACCTAAACAAACCAACCTTTCAATCCTTCTTTATTCATCATAAAGAAGCAAAAACAAAGGACGAAATCTAGTTTTTAAAAATTTTGGGCCAGCCACCTTTAACTTTTGTCAGGTTCTAGAGAGAAGCCTATAGCTGTGGCTTGTTTTGGAAGATGCAGCTGACAGCTGGGCCTCAGTAACAGAAACTCATAAGACATTAAGGGTTTGGTTGGGAGACTCCAGGGAATGAGTTAAGCTCCTGTGTACTATGTTTGGGAGCAGTGGTCCCTTCTTTACATACTTCTTGCTTGAAGGCAGGCCTGCGCTATTGAGCTACATCCTGCTTGTGTGGTTAATTTCTCTGTTGCTTTGGAAAAATGACCCCTGAAGAACTGATTTTGGTCTTAAAGAGAAAGAGACATCTTTGTTTAAGCTGCTTTCATATTGCTTGCTTCTTTTAAAGGGTGAGCATTTTGTTAGCAATAAATGGTGTGACAGGCGGGCAGAACTGTAGAAAAGACATGTTTATTGGTGGCCAACTTATATTGCTGAGTTCCAGGTGTCATGCCAAAATGGATCCATCTTGAAACCTAGCCATCTTTCTCTAGTCCTACTTATGTTTCAATACTGGGCAGCCCCTTTTACAAACCCATTTTGAAAATACAGTCTAGTGTGGGCAAGGGCATGCCTGCCTTGGGGAAGAGATTTTGGTACACTCTGCGTAGGCCAAAGACAACAG